TACAGCGCTCAAACTTAGCTGTGCTGGAACTGTTTCCGAACTTATGCACCAGTATGAACCCAGCTTCAGACAACTTTTTTGGGACGACTAGACCCGCTGAGTTTTGAAAAATGAATGAAAATGAAAATCTGACGGCAAGGTGACACAAGGTTGCGCGCAACAGCGGAAAATACATACTCGTCTGGCTGAAATTTTGTTACTTCGTTGTGTTATCAAAACGCTACCGACTTATGGAACTACTTAATATATATAAATATAAAACTCAAACACTGTAAAGTGTTTGTTAGGATGTTGTGGCTTATAAACTCCTTCGCATGTAAAATGAGGATGAATTTCGTCTACCCATAAACGGAACAGGCGCAAAAGATAAGCAACTTTTTGAGACCGTTCGCTCGGTCCTTCTATCAATTAATATGTCAGTTTGCATATAAGAAAATGAAAGTCCATCATGCTTTAATTCAACCGAGCATTTCCTATAGTCATGTAAACGAGGGTGGTGAATTTCCTTCATATTTCACAACGAGGAGGACGACGTGGTGTTCCGCAGCAGGAAGCAAGAAAGGAAGACAAGTCCATCATGAAACGCTCATTGAAACGAAACTTTGGGGCAAGAGGATGGAAGAGGGTGGGCATTGCGAGGGTGAAATGACAGCCAAAAAGAGGGTGGGGGTCATTAACGCGGGACCAAACTTCATAGATTTCCGGGACCAACAATCCACGGTCCGGTCTGGACCGGGAACGCCGGCCAGTAAGTCGTAAAACTCAATTGATGAAAATGATCAGTACAGTATCATTATAAGACGTCTATCCTTACTTTGCACCATACTCTGTGTAAAGGTAGTTGACCGGAATTGATCCTAACAGTGTTCCCAATGGTACGGCCCATATGATTGCGCTTTTCTCTGATGGAGTGTAGTCGACAGGAGGGCTCTGTAAACGCATAATGCAGGGGCTGTTAGTATAATAATTATAGCTTGAGCATGCGGTATTAAACTCACATCACCGCTCCCGGAAAAGTTCCTTGAATAATCACTTGACATGCATATGAATGTGAAGTTGATTATAGTGTGATTAGAATTTACCGATAGAAGACAGAAAAAACCAATTGTGACGAGCAAGTAGCGAAAGCTATCGCGCCAGCATGTCCATACACGCATTTTAGCACCAAGTAATGATCATCCAGACCTTTACGAAAAGAAGAAAATGAAGATAGGTTGGTGTTTTCAAAATATTTATTTGATTTACGCCATCATTTTAATAAACAGAGCCAAGAATCGTTCAGGGCAATAATGTTCCGTAAATATCTTTGGAAGATTGATCGAGCATCAGTGCAGAAATCGCATACGGTTGGTTGTCGCAGACTAAAATGAATAATTTAGAGCGCGACAAACAAACACACACTTTTACCTCATTCATATTGAATCAGTGCACTTTAGGGGCACATCACAGCAACACCGTGTCAAAGATTGGTTTTAGCCCTTCCGTATCGAACTGACATTATTGCGAAAGGCATAAGATGTGAATGCCGATTGTTCATGATTGCATACATCCTTACAACTTCATAATAATGGTCAATCCCATCCAATAAGTTGGTGAAAAAGCAACGTTTTTCTACCACTTCAGTTAAAATTTTTCTATATTTTTCTCCGGAAAAGATTCAGCACACTATTAAGAAGCTCTTCTCATGCCTTATCGCCAAAGCTTTGCTCATGTCTGTAAGTGTGAGGGTGAGCCTTCTGTTGACAGTGCAAAAACGCTTAGCTGTTCACGTCAGAAATTAGAAAAAAACTACATATTTTGAAACTTTCAGGCTACGAAAGAATTTTGAAAACATTCATTTTCCTTTCGCAAGTTTTTCTTGCGAACCCTTTTCATCTTCTTTGTACTACTGGCTTGCGACTACAAGATTTAGTACTTATCATTTATAACAAATTTTGAAGAGGGTTATGATTTAGTCAAAAACGAGGTTTCTGAAAGAAAAACTTTTTTGCTTATCAATCCATATTTTTCTGCCCGTTTGCTATGGGTGGATGTGCGCTGTATTGCGAAATATTTTCTGACGGTCATCGCATTGAAAAAGTTTATTGTTCAAAAAGTTATAGCATGTCAAAGTGAGAACTGCAA